CAGGATCCTGTCCACATCCTCGGGAGCCACAGAGTCAAACTCCTCCCATATAATCGTCTCAAGACCTGCTCCCTCCACCTCCCCCGGGGCCACCCAGTCGGAGTCCAACCCCTCCCGGATCCGAGCGACTTTATCATTCAGATATTGTGCAAAATCCTCAGCCCTCCCCACCAGGGGATCCTCCCCCCCCCTCAGTTGAGGGGTACAATCAGAAAGTAATACTTATCAGTTGAAAAACTTATTCTGGAACTTTGTAAACATTTGTTACAATTCCTATCCAAAGACAGCTAAATATATGTTGATACCTAGCAAAAATTAAAACCAAAGTCAAATAATATTAGACTTGGAATTTCATAATTCACATGAATAACCCTGCATTCTGCAGCTCTTTGCTTCACTTTCTGCTTTATATATTTGATTTGGCAGCCAAAATGTAAACTTGCAAAAGGAAATGGCAGCTTGAATATAAATTGAAACTCTAGTCCTAGAGCTTATGATGAAATAATGTACTGACCTTTCTGTTATCATAGTTATATGCATAAAACAAATTTGTTCTTATCTATGTCTCATATAAGAAGTATGCATCAGCTAACTTTTATTCTGCTAGAAAATATATTTTCTTTTCATTGTATCTTGAACAGATTCAAGACCAGGAACACACAGATAATGAATGAAAATAATATAAACTTAAAAGCATATAGTTCTGCCAGACACTGGATTACCTGATTTGACCTCCCTTGCCTGATTTATTCAATATTGACTTTGGCCAAACCATGAATAAAATTACAGTAAAAAGGATGTCCTTCCAGTCTTTCAAATATCCTCTCAGCCTTTGAATAGTGGTTGATTTTAGTAAGATAATAGAAGTAACAGAATGGAATTTGCATGTCTGACAAATAAGCCCATCTATTCTTTTGCTATATTGTCAAGATTTTTTGTTTATGCCCAGAGAAAAAACCATTAACCTGTCTGTCTTAGGAACTGAGGTAAGTAATAAATCAATCAATCATATTTCAACCCAAACAGTATCTGCTCCTTTTCTGTGGGAAATAGTTCTTGGCTGTAACCTGACTTCCTTTATTATATTTTATTGTATTGTGGCCATTTAGTACGTGGCTATAAAAATATAGAAGAAGTTGATACAGCTTTGGTTTGCTGAATGTTATTGCATGAGACCTGTTTCAATAATAAAAGGAATTGTCAGGAAGCTATCATCCATGTTGGATAGAGTTAGACAGCAATTGAAAACAAAAGTTCAATCTTAGCAAAAACATCAAAGAAGGTTTTCCATTATTAAGACTCAACCAATATGCACCCAAATTTGTATGTCAGCTCCTGAAAACACACCCTGCTCCTGATGAATTCTCCCAATGATTCCTGAATTATGATTAATAGTAAAACTATAAATGTGGCCTGGATGGATATATACAAATATACACTGCTAATAATTTTTATGTTGAATGTAAAAGAAAAAAAAACTAAATCAGTGGTTCTCAACCTTTTTAATGCCGCGACCCCCAACCGGTCGTAAGTTGAGGACTAAACCGGTCGTAAGTCGAGGACTAAACCGGTCGTAAGTCGAGGACTACCCAACCGGTCGTAAGTCGAGGACTTTCCCTGCCCGGGAGCGTCGCGCATGCGTGGTTCCACCCCCTGCGCCGGCCGAGGCGTAGCTGGCAAGCGGCAGAGACAGAGCAGGCCGACCACCAGCTGGCCCAGCCCAAGGGAGGTAAGGCACCCGCAGGAAAAGGGGAAAAAAATGGAGGACAAAAAAAATGGCAGACAAAAAAAATGGCCGACAGCCTTGCTTGGCAACCCCCATGAAATGGTCGATCGACCCCAAATGGGGTCCCGACCCACAGGTTGAGAACCACTGAACTAAATCTTAAGTGCCTGAATAACTGTCAATTCCAGTGCTCACATTCCTCATGTTGGACTGATCATTCAACATTGCTCTTTGTTTAGAATAATCATTGAAAATATGCAGTTAATCTATTGGCAATCAAACTTAAAAAAAAGCTGCTTATCAACAATCATTACATTAACAAGTAGGAAAGAAAAGGAAAAAAGATTCTCTTCTTTTGTATGATACCTTAGGTGCCCTGGTGGCGCAATGGTTAAATACGGTATTGCAGACAAACTCTGACTACAGCCTGCAGTTTTATCCTGACAGGGCTCAAGGTTGACTCAGCCTACTATCCTTTTGAGGTTGGTAAATGAGGACTCACATTGTTGGAGGCAATACGTTGACATTATAAACCACCAGAGAGTACTGTAAAGCACTATGAAGCAGTATATAAGCCTAAGTGCTATTGCTATTTCTCAAATTATGAAATGAGATGGTCATTTTGATTTCTTTAAATTTTTCAGAAAGGTATAAAAATGGCCCTCAAACATCAAGCAAGGAAGCACATAAGCATGGGTATTCCTACTCTGGTAAGAAACTTGTCTGTACTTCTCGTTGTCTAGTTCTCTTTATCCCAAAAGAGCTACACCATCTTCCAGTGCACCAAGCAGACAAAAGCAAACAATTTGCATAAGAAGGACACGCCCTTTCTTCTTCCTGAACCAGAAATCCTTTTTCTTCTTACAAATAAAGTTATCTTTACCCTATTTTCCTGAACTGTTATATCTGCAGATCTCTTGATTTCTTTGCTGTAACAAGACACCTTTGTTTTCATTTTTGCTGTATGCCCTTCCAGTCTATGTACCCATTAATATGAACTTCTTAAAATCGGGTTTTCTGCTTACCTTTTTTTGACTTCACCCTTGTCTTTCTCTCATAAAACTGAGAATTACATTCCCAATAGACTGTTAGTGACTATTTGATTGTTTTGTATGCAACTAGCTTCATATATGCTTAATTATACTGCTTTGATTATTATGTATAATTTCATAGCTGGATGTCCAGATTGCATAAGTCAGTTTAAAGATGTTCAAAACTGGTGCTTTAGGAGGCCCAGTTTGTGACAATTATTGTAATATAAATGTGATTTTTTTTCATTACCCTATTTTCATGACCCAATTACATCTTGGAACATTGAAATTTTTTTTAAATGTCACCTCTAAAAAGAAGAGAACAGCAAGCACTTGGAAGAGAGGATTTATTTTCCTAATGGTTTGAATTTCATTCCACTCATTTGCTATGAAGTATGTTCTCCATATGCTGACTGGTGCAGAAACACTTCTTATGCCATTTTCTCCTATAAAGAAGAAACATATGTTAAAAATTTTATTTTGGCCTCAATGACACAAGCACCACTAGTTATTAGATAATATAATTAGATTATATAAAATTAATATAAAACATATAATAGATGTTTAACTTAATTAAATAATCTCACACATTTTTGTTCCTCCCCCCCAGGTCTATTTTATATAATCCAGGATATAAATGTTAAAGATTTGGGTATGCATTTATTACTTATCCAAAAACCATACGAACAGCACCAGAACATGACAAGAATGTGTACAGTTACTTCATATATAATATGAGAATGAAGATATAGATGTGGTTACCTATGGCTGTAAAAGTAAAACTCTTCTATATATATTATCTATATATAATGCTTAGGATGTGATTTGCATCATTTCTGAAATCAGCAAGTTAATCAACCACCAGAAAAACATTTTATACCTTCTACTGCCTTAAGAACCTTCCCTTTTGGACGCTCCCAGTCGATGAAAAAGATATCTATTGAAAGTTGGGAAACAAGCAGATGCAAAAAGTGCAGCGCCTAAAAATCATTAGATGAAATAAAAAAATACAAGTTAAAATTATGGAAAAGAAGACAATTCTAGAAAAGCAACCATAATTTAGAATTACATGGAGAAAGACATTTACATTGCCACCTATCAAATAATAATAAGAAAAGTCCTGTCTAATATCTCTGCCCCCTATTGCCATCAACAGGAGTTGTATATTCTACATGAGGGATGACTTGGAAATTCCCTATGCAATTCCAATCAGATTACAGAATGCACGAATTAGAAGGGAGTTTGTAGGTCATCTTTTTTTCCAAGCCTTCCAATAAATCATCCCTGATTGGCAAGTGATGCAGCTCCATTTGAAAGCTTCCAACAAGCAGATTGTTTCATTTAGCAGCTTTTTCTAGTAGGAAATTCCCAGTAATAGCACAATCCCTAGTGTATTTATTGAAGTGTCAGTTTTACTGAATTTAATTTCTGTAATTCTAAAGAACACAATTTTTAAATTCTTGTTCAAAGGTACCTGTTTTTTCCTACCTCAAATCCAGTGCTGAATTATATACAGAATCTTTATGCTTCACTAATGTACACATATGTACTATACTTTCAAATACTTATAGATTGATTAAAAAACCCAAGAGTTTTCAAATAGAAAAAGCATATGCTTCTGTTTTTAAGGATATGGGGAGAAAAACATGTTCCTTTTCAGTTACAACTGTGCTAAAATTCAGGCTTATCCTAAGGTTTTCAACATGCACGTATCACATCTGACTCAGTGCAAGCCTAAAAGTAATCTCAGGTCCCCACTGAAAATTAGGAAATAAACATGAGTGAGTTTTCAACTAGACTTTAAAAATACATTTAGCAAGTATTGTTTCATCAGCTATCAGATTCTTTCCTTGAATTTTAACTTAGTGAACACTAATAAGAAAATAGTATTCCAAAAAAGAAGTTACCATTAAAGCTTTTCTCCCTTCAGACAATAATGAATGCAAACTGTTTCCAAACTGACACTGATAAATTGTAGCAGTTATATTTTTGGAAATCAAAAGGGCATATATTTACCTTCAGAACAAAAGCACATCCAACATAAGAAATGAACTTATCTTCTTGGCTTGGCTGAGGTAGTAAAACAGAGACAAACTGCTGTGCCTGAAGAGCAACAAACTCTTATTATACCAAACAGGATATAACACAATTATGCTTGTTTAATCATACTAGCTTGGATATTACTTATAGAATAGCAGCAGTTTTGCAAAAGTTAATGAACCTGAAAGCAAAATAGAATAGGTACTAACTAGATCTATTATTTTTTCGAGTGCACTTAGAGGGGAGAAACTAATGAAAAAGCATCAGAGCAAACAAAAAGATCATTTAACATGCAGAACTTGCCTGAATGGTCTGATCAGAAAAGGCAAAAGAGAAAGTAAAACATATTAAGTATTCAAATGTCTTATAATTATACAGAACGATTTATTCATTTACAAAAAAGGGAAAAAACTTACTTTAAAAAATA